TGCTGGGGAGCAGTGGGGGGTACCGGGGGCACTGAGGGGAGCTGGGGAGCAGTGGGGGGTACCTGACCCGGCTGGGGGCGCGGCCGGGAAGGCCCCAGTGCCAGGGAAGGCCCCGGTGCCCATGGGCAGGTGCCCGGAGCCGCCCGCTTGGCGCCGCTGGTTCCGTAGCTTTTCCTCGCGTCGCCACTTGGCCCGTCGGTTGGAGAACCAGACCTGGGGGCGGGGGAAAGGCGTCAGGGTCCCTGTGCAGAGGAGGTCCCCCAGACAGCGCTGTCCCCCCACAGGGCCTGTGGGGGGGTTCCCTCAGGATGGTGAATGGGGGGCCCCGTTGGAGGTCAGGGATCTCCCTTGGAGTGGGGGGGGGGTCTCCCCACTGGGGGCTGAGGGGGTAACCCTGGAACCAGGGGGGTCTCCTTCGGGGCAGAGGTATCCCTCTGCGGGGGGGGCTCCCTTGGGGCAAAGGGCCACCTCCGGGGATTGGGGGGTGTCCCTGGGCTTGAGGGGTCTCCCTTGGGGTGGGGTGGGGGTTTCCCTCACCTGGATCCGGGCCTCGGGCAGGTCGATCTTGGCAGCCAGGCGCTCGCGGGCGAAGACGTCGGGGTAGTGAGTGCGCTCAAACTCTGCATGGGGGGGGCAGCGCAGTCAGAGACAGCCCCCCCTGGCCCCCATATACCTAGAGCTCTCCCAGCACCCCCAAAATCCCAGTGCCCCCACCAAGTGCCCCCCAGAGCCTCTGGTGCACACAGAACCCTCAGAACCTAGACACCCTCCCCCCATCTCCAGCCCCCCAGATACACCCAGGGCATCCTGGTCCCCCCGCATCTCCGGCCCCCCGGATACACCCAGGGCACCCTGGTCCCCCCGCATCTCTGGCCCCCGGGATACACCCAGGGCACCCTGGTCCCCCCGCATCTCCAGCCCCCCGGATACACCCAGGGCACCCTGGTCCCCCCGCATCTCCAGCCCCCGGGATACACCCAGGGCACCCCAGTACCCCCACATCTCCAGCCCCCTGGATACGCCCAGGGCACCCCGGTACCCCCGCATCTCCAGCCCCCCCCCCCCAGATACGCCTGGGGCACTGTGGTCCCCCCGCATCTCCGG